AGCATGCGAATCTTTTTGCGGAGAAAATTCTTTTCTATTCAACACTTGTTTGTGGGTTATTTTTGCGTAATTCATTTTCTGTATTATTTTTATACACAGAATCTCTGTTTACAAATTAATGTATTAAGTTAGCTGCGATATATATGTGTGTGTGGTAGTTCAATGTATATGTATCGGATAATACAATTACAAGACAAATTGACTCTCATGATTACTGTTACTAGTATTAGATTATGTATGTAATTTACTGTAAAAAACTAAAAACTACTTTTTAGATCTATTAAGCAGTGATATTGACGATGCGATATCTCCACAAATTCAAGCGCTTTTTTTCTGGAAAATAGTTTAAAATAATACAGAAAATGAATTACGCAAAAATAACCCACAAACAAGTGTTGAATAGAAAAGAATTTTCTCCGCAAAAAGATTCGCTTTCTCGTCCAGCTCCGCTTCACAGTTCGTCATATATGGCATAAAATTTCAAAAAATATTACCAAAAAGGTAAAATACAATGTCGAAGTGAAAAGCGTCCGTCGTCTTCGCACTTCTGGTAATGTATTTTTATACGCAGAATTTCTGTTTACAAACTAATTTAATAAGTTACCCGTGAGATATATGTGTGTGTGTAATATTCTCTTCGAGAAGAAAACAGTGCTTTGTTCTTGTCAAACAATCATCAGATAACTGAAAAACCAGGCAGTATTCTTTTCGGAAAAATAGTCTTTCTTAAAGTCCGAGTCGACTACTTTACATTCGTTACAAATTGGAGAAAGGGTGCCATTTTAACTGAGGCTAGTTTAGTTAGTTAATTTGTGAGAAAATCAGGAAAATTTCTAGTGTATCGTTTTCCTTAAAATAAAAACTACTTTTTAGATCTATTAAGCAGAGATATTGACGATCCGATATCTCCACAAATTCAAGCGATTTTTTTCTGGAAAATAGTTAAGTATAATGTGTAACTTGTTTACTTGAAGTTAGAGTAAAAAAGGCAAGTAATTACACTTGCAAACTTACTTTTTTTTATGGCAATTTGATACTGCAATTTGATACTTATTCAACTATCGAAAACTTACAATCAATGTGTTGAATATTTTTGAAACCTGTTCTCGGAAAACTTTGAAATATCTGATCACAATAGGTACATGCCGACTTTGATCGTCTCTCACATTATAATGTGTTTACCTTTTATTTAAAGAAAAGAAAAATGAGAATTCAATTTTATTGAAAAATGTGATAAAAACTTCTTCCAACTACAATTCCATATGATAATCTGTCTGATCTCAAGTTTAGTTCGATGAGTATTCATAACTGCTATTAATTCATCCTTGTATTTGTACTGATCAAGATTTAAGAACAAGGAATCTTCTTGTGCGATATATGATTGCTGTCCAATGCCAGAACTGAGAAGCCCTTCGTAAAGTTCATCTTGAGGATTTTCTTGCAAGAAGAGTTTCTTTGGAGTTGTTGGATCATGAATAGATTTATCAAGTACAATACATACGTGTTCAAGTGCAAAAGAATATGCAGAACGATCGCTAGAGAATTCATCGATTTCATTAGCAATTGATGATGGTAAACATGAACAATCGAGTTTTCCATACAACCGAAATTTGGTGAAGAAAAATGGAGCGAGTAAATTTTTATCCTTGAGTAATTTGAAGAAAGTTAATAGTTGGTCATTGTCCATGAATGCACAGTAATGAGCAATAATTCCTGGTGTTACATTTTTCAGTATTAGTAGATTTCGTATTTTAATCAAATTATCAACGTGTTTAACAATTAGATTAGTTTCATCCGTAATTTCTTTATTCGCATAAACTTCAACTTTTTCCTTCCATAGTTGCTCATCTAGTGTTAATTGATGCATTTCCATTGTATCTCGTTTCACCACATCATGTTCAGTTAATGCATCCATGATCCACGCTGCAGAAACTAAATCTACATCGAAGAAATCCTTAATATCAGTTGTAGACACTCCATCGAAAGTATCAAAATATTCAATACGACGTAAGACATTAACATTGATCTGTCCAATCCAATCATATCTTACTACTTTTGATTTAGTAAGATCTTCAATTTCCTTTAGATAATTTTTCTCGAATTTTACTAAATCGATCAAAAGCTGACAAGGAAGTTTCATGAACCAAATGTTTTCTTGCCTGGTACATGAACCGTCCTGCCGTCAGACGAGTTGGGTTCGATGTTCATCAGTGGCATGCGATATAATGTAGTAGACATGCAGTTTTCTTGCGTCTATCGAATGACGTTGAGTAGGCGTTCCACATTTTCTAAGTGCCGGTAAATTTTGTGGGAAAGAAGCTTGATCCATCACTGTCTCATACCTTGGATATTTTCTATCTACCAATCTATAAGATGTTGAAGAGATATCGGACGATTTGACTTTTCCTTTAAATGTTTCATGTCGAAGAAGGGGTACGTCTTCAAAACCAAAATGTGAAATTTTTTTAGCAATCTTTTTCTTTAACACCATCATTGAAGGAGCAAATGCTCTGCTATTGTTCGTTTAACGGATGATAGTACTGTTCGCGGAAGTCACCTTTCGTTATGACGCACACTCTGCGTGTGAATAATATAATTTTCAATTAAGCTATTTTGAAGCCATGAAGATTTGATGGGCTTAAATGGAAATTGAAAATGGCTTACAGTGACTCATATTGTAAAGAATCAGTCAGTATTTAAGCTCAAACACCACAGACAAAAACTTAATTTTTTAAAATTGAATTATTTGCACCAGACAGTAACAAAATTAGTTTATTTCATTCGTTCAATAAGTGAGTATAACAATGTATATTGCACCATTTTTTAAGCTTTGAAGATTTCGGAGGAGTTAAGCTATGAAACTAACCTTTTTAAAATCTATGTATGCTCGTGAATACAGCCACTCAATAGTTTAGAAGATCAGTTTTACAACAATTGAATATTTCCAAAAATGCAAAACGGAGTTGAGAATAAAAATTCAAAACCTAACTTCAACCTCCTAAAATCACAACTCCAACTCCTCTAAAGTCAACTCCGGAGTTGCCCAGCCCTGATCATGAGATGTTTTCTACAAAAAAAAGAATGAAGAGATTATGCGAGAGTATTACAAAGGTATTGTGAATGCATGGATATTTTTAATAAGTACCTTTTTATTTATGATTGCGTGGACCAAGAAGACTTTGAAAATGACTTATCAGCTTTATAATGAATAGTATTAGATGTGAACAACGAACATGTTAAAAATGAACTTTATATATATATATTTCTGCTTTATTTAAATATTAATGCCCTAATAAGGCCTTTTAATACACCAAGAATGTATACACTAAGAATTTTTTAAGTAATAGTTAAGATTAAGAAGGTACAATACGTAGGAATTAACGATAGCACACAGGGGTATAACCTTTCACGTGGTCAAAAAATAAAAATATATAAACAGAAGGAAGTACAACTTTTTATAAGAAAGATTCAGGGAACGAAAAAAACAGATCAAACTCTTCGGCAGATATATCCGGAATGGAATTCGTATTGTTATCAGCAAGCCAGGACAGACATTTTTGTATAGCAGAAGTGTAAGGAACAAAACGCTTTGAGCGATAGATACAACTAATAGGAAAATCAGCACAAAGCCACTGCTCCCGAAAAACATTTAAAAAACATGGATTTAACAAAAGGAATCCATCGGTAGAACGAGCGAGAGCATTGACAAATTTTTGCCAATAATTAAAACATCGATTTTCCAGAGAAATTTCATCATATAAAAAGGAAAAAAGATAATCATTCCAGTGAGCACAACGAACAACACGCTTTAAACATGTAAAATAAAAATGAGATAATTCATCTCTCTGACAGGCCGTGAGAAGAGGAAAAATGACGAAGAGCCAAGTGAAAAGGGGGAGAACATAAGTAATAAAAAGCATAGTTCGAAATTGTGGACTTGATGCACCAAATATCTTACAAGATTTCACTATTGCTATTCTCTGACGGATTTTAACCTTATAACAACCTAACATCCTACCCCACCCAAGTTTAGAAGACAGATAATATCCTAAGTATTTAAACGTGCTTGACCAATTGATTTCGTTATCACCACAGAAAAGCTTAAAGGGAGGTGAACCAATTGCTCTCGCTGACCATAGCGCTTCCGTCTTTTTGTAATTAATGGGTTGAACTGACAAAGTAGCATAGAATTCAAGATAATCAAACAAGGTTTTTAGTCTAACTTCTAAATCTAAACATTGTTGAGCATACTTTACCCCTATCCTACCACAAACAACACAGGCGAGGTCATCCGCGAAGAAATTTGCGAGGGAATTCTCGAGAAAGGTCCACATATCACAATGATAAGTGATAAAAAGTGTTGGAGTGAAGCAAGACCCTTGCGGTCCTCCTCTACCAATACGAAAAATTCTGGAGCGCTTCCCATTGATTTCGATAAACCCAGTTCGATCTCTTAACCAGAACGCAATCCACAGCACATAAGCTTTAGGAATACCTAACCTTAATAATTTACCTAAGCAACCCTCCCACCACAACTGGTCAAAGGCCTGCTTAAAATCAACAAATACCGTAGCCACTGGGGAACTATTACTCAATAAGGAGGATATTTGATCCACTAGTAATAGAACACGAGACTGCAGACGAAACTTTGCCCTAAATCCTGACTGTGAATCATGAAGAATACCTCTATTTGCAAGAATACGTTGGAAACGAACCAAAAAAAGACGTTCCAAAACTTTCAAAAAAACATCGAGTAAGGAGATCGGACGCGTGTCCTCCAACAAACAGACAGGATCTTTCTTAGCAAGAAGTTTCATTCGCACCCTTTTCCAGTAAGAGGGACCCACAAAGGAAGAGAGAGAAAGATTAAAAATTTTTAAAAGCCCAACCCAAAAAGATGTGGGAATAAACTGAAACATAAAGGTAGAAATACCATTGGCATCACACGAATGTTTAATCTTTCTCTTAGAAACTACTTTCAAAAGTTCAGGTAGAGTGATAGGAGGAATTAATTCGTCAAAATTTTCCCATTTTATTTCGGGGGAGTCCACATAAGGATGAGGATGATAGACCGTCGGTTTTTCAAATAATTTCTCATAGAAAGTAGCAGTCATGTCTAACATATTATCTTCATCTTTGAACACAGCACCGTTCTCATCAAGGAACCCAGTAAGAGAACTCGCGATTCTGAAATTTTTCTTTAGCTTAGACCAAAACGACACAGAATGAGAAGAAGAAAACCGATCCTTCATTGATCTAATCATTTGATTCGAAAGGAATAAACATAGTTCTTTCTTATTGTTTCTCCTCATTTGTTTCACTTTCGAAAGAAGAGAGGTGTCGCCCGTTCTTTTTTGCTTTAGCGATAACGCACGTGTGTATGATAGTTTTAGACGTAAATCACTTGGAATAGCAACACGATATTTTTTTAAAGGAAAAAAGACAGTACAATGTACTCTTAGAAGAGACAAAAATGTTACAAAGTTTGTGTATGATTCCTCAGATGATGAGAGACTAAATTGTTCAGCCCAAAATTCACTCACAAAGGAAAGAAAATAGTTAAAAACTTTCCAATGTATAGAAAAACCTGATTGGTTTTCTTTTCTTTCACAGTTAATCACTCCAATGAGAGCTTTATGATCACTTGTCACATGAAAATTGAAGACTTGGAGCGTGAGAGGTATCCCAGAAGCAAAAGCAAAGTCAATCTTTCTATTTGAACGAAGCGAGGTGGGAGAGTCGGGTAAAACAGGAGCAAGAAAAAGCGAATCGGACCATTTAAAAATATGCTCTGCTCTCTCTTTATCCGCTTTATCGTCGAAATCGATGTTAAAATCACCCAAATAGCAACACTTATCAACCTTAAACTGTGATAAATCATCCCACTTCCATGTCTTACTCTTAGGTGCATACACTCCAATAATACGCAGGGGTTCTTCTAGCTTAACATCCACCACACATACATTAGGTAGATCACAACGCACACGCGAACAATGGAAAGAAGAACGAAAAACTAAAACTACCCCACCCCAACTGTTCTCGCCTTTCTGGAAAAAAACTGAAAATTAACAAAAACCTGTGATAAAAAGTCCTTATCAACTGCTCCAATTTCTATGAGAATCATACAATCTACTTTACCTTTTTCGAATAAAAGAAGTACTTCATGCCAACGAACATCAAGTCCTCTGACGTTAAATAAGAGGACATTCAAGTTAGAAAGAAGAGTCGGAGTGGGACTAGAAACCTCAAGAGCTCTCCAAGAAGAAAAACACGTAGACAGGGTAGGGAAGGTGTACCACTCGTTACAGATATCTGACAATAAAGAAAAATCAAACTTTGACAAGAAAGGGACAGTTAAAGACAAGGCATAGTCAATATCAAATTTTCTTTTTTTCTCAGGCATAACAAAAAGAAATTCTGGGGCAAAAGGAGATAGTTTCATCACATCCGGATAATGAGTCATATGACGTTTTGATTATCATCACTCTGTGTTATCTTACTTCCTGGTTGTTGATGAGAGTGCCTTAGTTTTAATACTAATTCCTGTTTTTTATCTTCATTGTCTGTATGTCTCGTCATCCATTTGGTAAACCCATTTGTAAGTTTATCACAATACGCTGTTAATGATGGAGCTAATATTGATGAATCTTTGACCATATTTTGCTCAATTAATGATGGAACAATTTCTAAAACAAGTTGGCAAACAGGAGTAACAAATTGACTAACAAATTCTTGTTGAAATGTTACATCAATCTGTTGTATTTCCATTAGTTGTTTTTGTTTATTTAATACTTTTTCGAATCGTTCGTTCATGTCGATAATTCGATTTAAGTTATCGTCAAGCTGTTTCATTCTATCTTCTAAAGTTGATAAGCGATCGTTGAAGTGATTTGAACGACGATTAACAAGCAATGGGAATTCACTCTCGGCAACTTGAAAATATCCCTGTTTATTTTGATAATTGTTGTTATTACTCGTTGTTGTTATTGTTGTTAATAATGATTTGGTTAGTGCTGAACGATAACTTTTTATCAAAGGACAACGAACGTCATTTGATTCATGATCACCATTGCAACGTACACAATTTTGTCGCTTATTACATTGAAGTAGATGTTGTTTAATATCTGCTACTCCTTCTCCACAAGTTTTACATACATCCAATTGATGTGTACAAGAACTACGAAAATGACCGATTTCAAAACATTTTGAACATAGTAAAACTTTAATTGGGCTCACATATTCCATTAATGAATAGCGAACATTATTAACATACATAAATTTCTTGCGTAGAAGATCATTCATTGTCGTTGGGTTACTAATATCTAAACGAACTAATGTTGTTGGTTGCTTTTCTTTGTTTATGATTCTAAATGCGTTGAAAACATCCAAATGATCCACCTGAATATCTCTTAACAACTCGTCATCACTAAGATCAATTGGTACATTACGTAGAACAATGGAAAATTGTGGAGGTAAATGTTTTGGCGAAACCCGAGTAAATTTCAAAGTACCTAACGTTTGAGGCCAAGTTTTTTCATCGAATAGTGCCGCAAACGACTCTCGATTTTTAACAAACAATAACAACTCATGTTTTTGTTTCAACCGATAACCGTCAAATTCGATATTAATATTATTAATATTTTTATAATGTTGCTCAAGATCTTGGATAATAACATTTTCTGTAACATTTTGATTAAATTTAATAATGAACGGTGGAAAAGCATATCTTGTTTCAGCAAATCTACGAGCTTGCTGTGATACACCATTGATGATAACGTTTGAGCGAGTATTATTTGATCGACGATTGGATATATGTAAAAAAGACGATGTCGAATCAGTAATACTATCTGTATTTGTTGATGCAGTCTGACTCGGAACAGTGTACGATGAAGAAGAATGAGTTACAGATCCAGTAGTTGTCTGATGATGGATCTTCGTTTTTTTATTATTACGAACCGGGATAAAATCATTATCAGTATTACCTTCATCCCCATTTTGATAAGAATTTTGAAACTGTTGTTGTTTAGGTTGATGAGATAAAGAAGGATCAAATTGTTGTTGCTGAATAGGGATCACAATCTCATTATTAATATTTTGACATGGTGAAATTATTGAGTTAATTGAATGAGGAAAGGTCGAACAGCTAGACGATTAGCATTATCACTCGTTCGCATTTGCTGCTGCGATCTAAGTTGAGAATTATCCACCATATGTGAAACCACTTGGTGATCTTGTTGAGGAAAATTGCCGCTCATTAAAGGTAGTTTTGAGCAGTAGAAATTTTGCGCGGGAATTTGTTGTGATGACACTTGAGGGTAGCAATGCTTATAAGGAAAACCACTATTCATACTACATGAATGAGATATGATTCGACCCGATTGTGCATCAAAACCAGAATGATATAATACTTGGTTTGATTGATGAATCATAGCCGAGGCCGGGCCCTGAGGATTGGCCATAACCCCGAAAATTGTTGAAGAATTCAATCACGTTTTAAGGAAAACACGTGGCCGATAAGAAAGAAGGAAGAAAAATATCAGTGTAAATATATATATATGTAAATAGAATTCTAGGACAGAAGAAGTAACACGTCTTTACTTGACCACGTTAGAAAGGAGAATTGAAAATTTAATACAATTCAACCAGATATTCCAATTGAATATATGTTTGATATAAAAGAGAATAAAATTATATATTCTTCTTCGTTTTCACATGTTCCTTCTGTTTTTCATATTGCTGTATCTCCTCCATCTTTAATGTCAATCAATATTTAAATATTCAATATAACAGATTGTTTAAATAAAATATCTCACTCTAATTGTTTTTCTTATAATTTCGACGTTCAAATAGCTATAAATAATATTGAACTATAAATATCGATGAAGATGATTCTACGGATTGGTGAGCGAAAAAGAAGAAACAGAAAAGCAGAGAAAAAAACATTGACTAATAATGAGTATATAAACACGAAAGATAGGTTGAGTATCATTTATCTTGTAATATACGTCGTTCATCTAATTCAACTGACTACAGGGAGTACATCAACAGTATACAAGTTTGTATACACTGAAAGATGAAACGTAAAAAAACATTGATCTCATCTATAACAGACAATCTTAATAAAAAGTCGAGAGAGGAAACAGAAGAAACCCAAAACAGTGTGGAGGATAGACAAACTATCTGGAATAATATCACTCAAAAGCAATTTATATCTGCTATTAATGAGCTAGGATCCGACCAGACACAACTTGATAAGGAAACATGGCGCTTTAATGAATTCACACGTTCTAAAGACTCTGTTTGGGGTCGATTGATATCGAAACTGAAATTAAACCAAACAGAAAGTGTGCGTCATTCTTTGTATAATGTTTGGCGACGTAATCGTCAAAAAATTGAAAACGATATGTCTGAAACTCGTCTTGATGCTGTTGGAGAAAATGGTAATTTAGACAAAGAAAACGAGGTTGAGCTTTCCT